TTGCTTTGAGGGTGGAAGAAGTCGAGTAAACACGTAGAGAAGGCAACCTGTGCTGCCTTTATGTTTATAGAGGACCGAGAAAAAGGACACAGACTAATCTGCTTCACTGGTCTCCACAGTGATTCACTCTGGCTGTCATGGAGACTGGAGGCAGGAAAGCGAGACGGTAAAATTTAGCTCTTCAACTCACCAGTCAGGATTTAACATAAATATCAAAATTCAGCTGAGGGTTTATTTCCTCCTGTTGGGTTCAGTTTGTTTCCACCAACAGCTGCAATGTTTACACACACAGAACAAGCAGTTATTAATTATTAGTTGGAAGTTATAATACTGAATATTAGAGGGTTTTTTCAGAGCTGGATAATTAATCAATAATATATCCTGCATCCCAGGAGATGCACTGCTGGAGTCTGCTTTGACTAGAAACCATGAGCTCTCAGACAATATTGCCACAAATCACCACTTTTACCTCTCATATGGGTAGAAAGTAGCACAAAATTGCTGGTTTATGGTTTGAGACGCCATAAAATATGGATGAAATATCAAGATGATGCTCTTTGCACTACTGTGAGACTACCTTCTGAACTGCTTAAATCACTGCATTTATTCTGGACCCTGAATGCCACTTTTTAAGCCAATTGTTGCAACATTATTACACCATATTGGATGATGTTTTCTAAAATTATGCAAGGCTCTGCTCATGGTTTTCTTATCTTTGTGTGCAAACCACACTAATTGATCACAAATCAGCTGTGCTGAAAGGAGATTTTTTATTTTTTGGGGGGGTCGTTTTTTATATATTCTGCAGAAAAGTGATTTATGGCAATTTTGGTCTTCCATACTCTGACGCCAGCAGACCGCGTCTTCTTAGAGTGCGGCGAGTTTACGCTGAATTAAACGCCTTTTAATCTGATCACCAAAAAGACATGAGGTTTAATGAAAGGAAAACTTAATTAAGCGGATTAAAATCCAGTTGTTCTTGGTATATAAGCGCATACAGGTGAATTTTAATATAAAATGTTAAATAAAAGAACATGCACTCATCAGTGGTGCTTTTAAAAGTCAAATCAACGATAGCAGATGACACAAGACAGACCCACCTTGTCGCACGGCTGCAAGTCTCCATCGGCTGACGCTGCTGATCTGTGAACGCTGATGATGATGAGGAAGAGGAGGAGGAAGAGGAGGCGGATGGAAAAGAGGCAGCGGGAGAAACAGGAGGTGCGCAGCGGCCCCCACATCCTCAGCTCGGATCACAAACAGCTGGCAGCTCGACGGCTGGAGCCGCGGACGTGAAACAGGCCGAGCGGTGCAGCTCTAACTGCAGCCCCCCTCATTGATGCGCCTCCTGGAGCAGAACCAGCGGAACAGACAGAGCGACAGCAGCACTTCCGGCCTGGGGTTTCAAAATAAAAGCACCAATTTAAAGTAAAATATTTGTTAATATCTGAAATATGTAATGATAACTGTTATTATATATATATATATACACATTATATATAATCATTACCAATATTATATAATAAAAATTATATAACATATTACTATACTATTATTATTTTATAACAGTGTATTATAATTCTTATTCATTACCTACTTAATATCTTTGATTTTAAATTAGAGCACATGTTTTGAGGTATTTTATTTTCATACTCCAGATTTTTTATTTAGTTTTTTTTTTAATCAGTGGATTAATACAATTCTTCAATCATTATTATTACTATTATTACGTAATTGTGTTATTCGTTTAAGGAAGTAATAATTTGTTTTGTTATTTTTCTCAGATTTATTCTCATGTTTGTTTTTCTGTTTTATTTTAATGTTCTTATTTTGGTTGAAAGTAGTGTATTTATGTAATTATTTATCTCCTTTTATTATTTATATTAATAAATATAATAAATTGGTAAATTAATTAGCAGAATTTTTATTAAAATTTAATGTTTAAAATCTGAGAACTTACTAGTTTCTGGAGTAGGAAGGAAGAGAATTGTACTTTTCTTTCCTAAATTCATAACATATAAAGGAATGGTAAGAGTGCATTTTATTTTAAGCATTTTATTTAAAACTCATAAACATGATTGAGAATCGCCACAATCACGGTGACGAGCTTTTGTTTTTATTTTGAAGCACAACTTCCTGCCACCAGCTGGTTCATTTGTTCAAGCTTTTCTTCATCTGGTTGTTAAACCTTAAATCCTCAGGCTGACGCCACCATTGTGATAACGAGCATTATCTTGACTGACAGCAGGAGGAACAAAACACAGCGACTGAGTTGATTTAACCCTGAAGGAACTGGGATGAACACACTGGAATATGTCCATTTTCTTCACAGCTAACAACGTAGGACAGTCTGTCACTCATTTAAATCCCATTGTTGTTGTGGAAAATTGAAAAGAAAATAAATTAAGTAAGATTCATTAGGATGTAAAATCAAGTTGTCTTTTGTCAACTTCACATATTCCTTTAAAACTATGTTAGCATAATATTTTAGTAACACAAAAATATTAATGTAGAATCAAACTGAACTTAAATAACTTGAAGTGTATTGTGTTTCTTTGCCAAATATTTTTTTAATCTATTCCATTATTTTATGGTTTATGAAGCAACAAAGCACTTTTTAAATCTCTGCGCGTTAAACTGCAAATGAACTGCTTTTCCAAAACATGTCGGTAGGTGGCATCAGCGTACATGCACAGCCAGAGACAGCAGCCAATACACTAACGAGGAAATAAAGAATCAAAACAGTTGGTCTCTGTGAGTTTTTTCCAGAGATGGAGCTCATTAAATTTAGAAGAAAAAATTAGTTAAATGTCTAAAATACTGCATAATACACCGCGAATATTTTTACGGTCTTGATACTCTTTTTGAGGAGTACTGACGAATGATAAACTGAGGAAAAGACAGTTGTTGCTGTTTTACTTCTTCGCCGGTTAGCTTCCTCGTTAGCCGGTTAGCTTTCCAGGCTCGGGAGTTGCTCCATGGGGGAACTATGGGATGAACATGACCATATATAGGCCGGACACGGAGCTGCCGCCGGTGAACCGTAAACTCATCCTGCAGGCTGACAAACAGCAGGGGGTAAACATGTCAGCGGACCAGGTTATAGCCATCGTGGTGGACGACAGGATCTACGAGGTGAATAAAAAGAAGCTGATCGAGAAAAGCGACTACTTCCGAGCGCTGTACAGCTCCGGGATGAGGGAGTCCACGGAGGACTCGGTCCAGCTGCAGGGGCTCAGCGTCCCGGGCCTGGAGCTGGTCCTGGAGTTCATCAATACCTCCAAAGTTCAGGTGGTCAACGAGACCCTGGAGGATCTGATCGAGACAGCCTCCTTCCTGCAGGTTACCTCCATCCTGAAGCTGCTGAGCTCTGAGATCCGGCCGGAAAACTGCGTGGAGCTGTACAGCCTGTCTGAAGTGTATGGAATCCACGATCTAAGGACCGCCTGCCTCAAGTACATGAGCTGCCACTACCACCCCATGCTGCGGCGGCCGGAGTTCGGCAGCCTGCCCCCGGCTGTGAGGGACCAGCTCCGGGAGATGCGCATGAAGGGCACCGCCACGCTGGTGGTCATCGGAGACTTCACCTGTCTGTCCCTGGATGTGCCGGATCAGGACGAGCCCTGGTCCATGCTCAGGTTCGGGGAGGTGGAGCAGCGCTGGAGGCCGCTGGCCAACAACCTGCCGCCAGACATGGTCAACGTCAGAGGCTACGGCTCCGCAGTCCTGGATAACTACCTGTTCATAGCGGGTGGCTACCGGATGACGAGCCAGGAGATTTCTGCGGTGCATTGCTACAACCCCTGCAGGAACGAGTGGAACCAGGTGGCTCCTCTCAACCAGAAGAGGTAGGCCTGTCACAGTTAAAAGAGCAATAAAACTAGCTCAATAACCTCCATTTGCATTCTTTCATGTCTTCTGATCCAGGTCCAACTTCAAGCTGCTGGCTGTCCAGGGGAAGCTGTATGCTGTGGGGGGTCAGTGTCTGGGTACAGTGGAGTGTTACGGCCCAGAGCAGGACTGGTGGACCTGTGTGTCCTCCATGCCAGATCCTCTGGCTGAGTTCTCAGCCTGTGAGTGTCAGGGAATGATCTACATCATGGGTGGATACACAGCAAGAGGTTGGTACCAAAAGAAATACTTAAGAATTTGATGCTGGTGTGTTAAAATATCTAGTCATGTCTTGGACCGTGTCAGCTTTTTTCTCTGAGTTTCAAATTGTCTCTTTTTTAAATTGTCTTTTTTTCTGCTAATATTAAGACTCAACAAAAGTCATTTAATTTTTTATCATTCAATTCAGAGAAGAGATTAAATATTTGCTGTCATTTTGTCTTTACACTGCAAAAACTAAATTTTACAAAGTGCTTTTTTGTTTAGTTTCTAGTCCAGGTAAATTTATACACTTGAAATATGACAAAGTTAACTTATAAGTAGCTTCTAATTTAGTTATATTTCAGCGAAATAAGAGCTTGTTTTAAGTCAATTTCTTTATTTTGATGAAAGTGATGCAGAGGCAGGTTACTTAACTTATAAAAATAATTTTTTCCCACATTATAAGCAAAATAATCTGCCCGTAGTTCATTTTCATCTGTATTTAAGAATTATTGATTTATATGTTGCTGAAAAGTTGCTTCTAATTTAGTTATGTCCTTTCAAGTGAACTAAGATATTTGCTCTAGAAAATAGACCACGAGTACTTGGTAAAATTTTGTGGTTTTGCAGTGTACAAAAGAAAGCAAGCAGAAAAAAATTAAAAATCAGATCTGGTTTAAAAAAATTACTGGTTTTATTTCTAAGTCGTATCTTCCAGCCTTACCTGCTTGTTTCTGATGCACCGTTTTTCCCTCCTGACAGACAGAAACACCAATGTGCTTCGCTACTGCCCCACCTCCGACTCCTGGTCGGTGTTCCAGACGTGTCCGGTTCACATCCGGAAGCAGCAGATGCTCTCGGTGGAGGACACCATCTACCTGGTGGGCGGCTACACCCACCTGCTGGAGGCGGGGCGGCGGCAGCGGCGGCTCAGCCAGACGGAAGACGTCCTGTCGGTTCAGTCGTACAACGTGTCGACGGGGGAGTGGATCCAGCTGAAGGAGAACACGTCCAAGTCGGGTTTGAACCTGACCTGCACGCTGCACAACGACGGCATCTACATCATGAGCCGCGACATCGGGCTGCCCTCCAGCCTGGACCACCGCGTCTTCCTCAAATACAACATATTCTCTGACGCCTGGGAGGCCTTCAGGCGCTTCCCGGCTCTGGGTCAGAACATGCTGCTGTGTTCGATTTACCTCCCCAACACGCTATGACCAGCGGCCCACCGGAACCAGAGAAACCTTCAAACGAAGCTCACTGCAAAGGAGAGAACATTCAAGAGAAATTGGACCAAACTCAGAAATCCTAATGCTTCTCCAGTCAGTGAATGCACCATCAGATGTCACTTTTATCAGCCAAACATCCGATTATTCATTTCAGTCCTTTGCTACTTGGCATCTCTGTAGTTTTGTAAACATTTTTCACCCAAAGTGACATTTTTTCCTCAGTAAATTAGTGCAACCTTGTAGCGGTTAGCATGATGTCTTTAGGGACCAGAAAAGAGCAGATTTTTGACTTTCTGACCAGCCTAAAATCACCTATCCTTTACCGGTACAAACATTTTCTTTTAATCATTATCGCCATAATTCATCCAATCACTAACACTGATTATGAGCAAAAATAAAGTTTGTTTACAGACACAAAATGAGGATCTGAACTGAACAGATGTTTACAGTAATTAATACTAACCACCAGTAAATGTTTAAAATATAACTGTTTTAAAATATTAAAGTCTGGTTTCACAACAGAGACTCTTAACACACACAGTGTGACATCACCTCTGATCTTAATGTAAATAATTAGTGAGCACTTGAGGCTAAAAGGAGATATTTTGAAAAACATCCTGAATTTACACTCCAAATATGGCATTTTGCTACATGTTTTTATTTCCCCCAAAACTTTAAAGCTGCATTTCTCCTGTTTAAGTTCACACATAACCAGGGACAAAGTTGCGGTTTACGCCGACACTTTAACAAGAACGGAGGGTCCTTGAACGCGTCGGAAAACGAAGCGCCTTGTTGAGTCTTATTTTTCCTGAGATACATTAAATAAACGTCCCAGATGTGCCTTCTGCAACTGCAGTGAAAGCGTTAAGGAAAAAAAAACCAAAATGCAAGACTCCATTTCAGTGCCAGCATCTGACCAAACCTGCTGTTTTTATTTTCTATTTTTGTTACGGTGGATGTTTGTTGAGCAGTGAAATGAACCTCTGATTGTTTTGTGTAATAAATGCAGTATATGTAGGGTTTGGATTTTTGTTTGGAGAATAAAGGTGATGTTCTGGGTTTGATCTCTGTTTTCTTCACTTGTTTATAAAACAACATTGAATGGATAAGCTTTGGATTTTGTAATTTTTTTTAGTTTTTCTTACCATTTGGAGAGGATGTTTAGGATTTCCTCTGCAACTGTAAGTTGATTCCTGTTACCAAAAGAAAAACATGTTAATATTTAATTTGAATTATCCTTAGAAAAGGTTGAGTAAACCAAACAGCTGTTAGGACAGACTTACAAATATTTCAATAAACTTTAAATAATCCATGTGTAAAAATCCCACTTTAATGCTTAGTTTCTTAGGTTACATTTTTGGCTTTTATAATTGATTTGCTTCTTTTTTGGACAAAAATACTTAAGTCTTACCAACTAATTTTGGTAGTTTCCAGTGAAAATGTCTTAGTAACTTGAATTAAGACAAAAACTAACCTAATAGTCACTTTTCATCAAAATATAGAAGCTTGTCAATAATTTTCTAACACTGATGAAAAAATAATAGTTACATTAGCAGATTTTTGCACTTATAATATCTTGTTATAAGTGAAATAATCTGCCAATGTAACTGGTTTATCTTCAGTAATTATTTAAAACAAGAAAAGTTATTTCTAAGTTAGTTTTGTCTTTTTAAGTGTAGTGAGATATTTGCACTAGGAACTAAATAAAAAATACTTGGTAAGACTTTGTGTTTTTGTAGTTCGTTCATATCTCCTCACTCAACAACCACTTCAAACCTAGTGAATTTATTTATTGCTCATTTAATTGTGATTCAAACTAAAACTTAAATTGCTGCGTTTTTCTTAATATGAGGAATTATGTAATTTAATTGGACTTTTAGATGCAACCAGCAGGGGGCAGCACTTGCTTTTAAATAACTCTCCATCTCTAAATGCGCGCTGTGTTTTCACCTTCACAAGGACTCCGTTTAAAAAAACAACTGAATCCTAAAGAGGAAACGTTTCACATGCGTGTTGTTTGTGCCGAGCAGAGTTATGTTGTTGTTTCTCATAGAATCCACAGCATCTTCAGCGTGTCATCGTCCAGAGGTCACGGACAAAGATTGGATGGGATATTTATAGAGAATGGATGGGAGAGATTGGATTCTGGTTTTAGCTGTGGCACTCAAAGGCGGGACAGAGGAAATCAATGTCTGCCAGATTGATCCTCAATGTGAGGTCAGATCCAGCTGCAGAAACACAGCATGAGGCATGATTTTTATTTTTATTTTTTTTTGATGCATGAGGAACTGTCATTTTCTCTGTAAAGTCAGGGAAGATGTGCTCTGAATGGTGAGCAAACGAAGAAATCCAAGGACGGCAGCGCTGAGGGGAGGGTAGAAAAGACGCACACAGACTTATTAGTCCCACCTTCTTCTGCTGCTGCTCAGTCAGAGGGAACAGATCTCAGAGGAAGATGCAGCTCTACATCAGAGGAGCGCTCAGGAAAAGTACATGAGAGGAGACAGGGGACAGAGAGGGACATCTGGCTGTTTATTCTGCAGAACACCGGGACACAGACTGTAAACCGCGACATCCACCACAGACAGCTGAGAGCATGAGTGAGGCGAAGAAAGGAGAGCTGGCCATCCGGGACAAAGCCATCCTGCATCAGCAGAGGCGCCTAAAACAGGCCACCCAGTTCACACACAAGGACTCGGCTGACCTGCTGCCCCTGGACGGACTGAAGAGACTTGGAACCTCCAAAGACCTGGTGAGTCCAGCATCTAGCAGCAGCGGCATGGAGAGCGAGACGCTTTTCTCCTCAAGCTGCTGATTAAATGCACTTTCGATTAAATCCCATCTCTAATATAACATTGCACATATAGTAAATAAGTAGTAGGTGAATTTATGCCGAAAAAACCCTCAGATTTTGAGCTTGTAAATTTCTGAATTTGAAAAGTCAAATCTGCTGACAAATAAATAAAAACTAAATAAAATAAACTCAGAAAATTTCTAGGAAAAACAAGAACATTTTTACTTTTGAAGCTCAGACAATGTCAACTTTTTTTGTAGAAAATTTTGAGATTAATGTAAAAAATTATGAGTTTAGAGAACAAAGAGAAAAGAAGGAATACCTTTCTGGAAAAAAACAACATTTTGAGCTTGGAAATTTCAAAGTGAAAAAAAAAACCAGATTTAAACTTAGAAATTTTCTAGAATTTTTTTAAACTTTTGAAGCTCAAAAATTTCTTGTTTTCTAGAAAATTTCTGAGATTAATCTCAAAATTAGATAAAAAAAACGGCAAAATTATGTCAAAGTACTTTTAAATTTTAAAATCTTCTAGAAAAAAGTATTTTTGTTGCAATACTTTAATCAGATCTTATTGCTCTTCTTAACAATCAGAGTAAATATATAAATATTTAAATAACCTGCTTGGCGCTGATTGGCCAAGAGCGACACAGACGCCATGACAGTTAGCTTGTGCGGTAGCCTATCGCTAGCATAGTTTTGTTTTATTATTATTTTTTTGCTAACATAGTTTCCACTCTGTGTGTCAATGAATATTGACGCATATTTGTTGCTTGAACTACTAAACGTGTTTAAGTACCTGCGTGATCTTTTAACGTGGATCCGTGACCAACTGTCGCGGCGGTTGTCGTGGAGTTGCTATGACAACAAACAATCCTCTTTCCCGGTGTGGTTCGGGCAAGAACCACACCTGAAGAAGTATTTTGGTACTTCTTCAGTCAGAAGTACCAAAATACTTTATTTTTGTTCGTTTCGAAGCCGGGGTTCATTTATGCTTCCCGCTGCGCCTGCTTACCAAGATGGCGCCGATCACTTCCGGTTCAGACTTAAAGGAGCTGTTCAGAAATCACCAATAATCTTAAGCAATGCTGGAAAAGAGCAAAACAAAACTACTGGAAGGTTTTGATGCTAAATTTGTTTGTCTTGAGTTTTTTTGGCACCATTTCATTAGAAAAGTTGATGAACTTTATGTTTTTGAAGGTTTCTTGTGGTAATTGGAAGTATTTGCATCTTAACATTTATTTGAAGGAGTCAATTATTCATTAGCTTTTCTTTGCATTTGTGTGTTTTTATTTCAAATGGAACATTTTCTGAGCCGTCCTTTCTTTATCCACTAATGCTTTGCTTTGCTGTGCACATTGGGTTGCTGTAAGGAAAAAATGAACAATGTTTGCAGAAGTGGGAACGTCAGCGCTGGTCACGGTTCACTGCGCATCTCCTCACACATTTTACAGAATGAAAGCTGCACATGAAGGCCTGACTTCCTCTTCTTGGAAGCCTCTGAAGTCAGACGGTTCTTAGACTCTGGAGGAACTTCCTGTAATAATCCCCACAATTTATTGCTCCCCTAACAGAGTTCTGGTTTAATGGCTGCGGCCCAGATTCCCCTGAGCTTTTTCAACAACTTTCAATACGTCGCTCTTTGGCCTGGGGAAACTGGAAATGTTGCTCTCATGTCTACCACTTTTCAACAGAGACATTAAAACATCAACCCTCATTCTCACATTCAGTAGTCAAGTTTTATTTCTTAATCACTCTAATTATTGACATATTTACAGTTTATTTGCAGTGTTTTGGTTACAGACACACTTCCCGAGCCACAATCTGTTTTAGCGAGTAATATTTTTAGTTAATTCACTCTAATTACTGAATAAAATGACTAAAAAGCACCAAGTTCAGTGACTCCAAACTATCAAAAGAGCCAGACATGATTTATGCATAAGAAAATTACAAAACTACACAGCAACAAGACAGAGAGACAACTTAAAATGAGTTTAAAGAAAAAATGTTTAAATGACAAGAAAGAAATAAAGAATCACGTGTCATTCCAACAAGAAACAAAATTACTCAGAATTGACTAACATCATTTAAAAATAACTGCAGACATGCCTGGAAGGACACGAACTTGTCAACCAACAAAAAACAAAACTATTTAAAAAAATGACTTCCTCAAAGTTCCATCTGAGCAAGAACTGATGACAGAGCAAAACGTCTGGAGGCTGAACGCTCGCATTAGTACCAGAACAGGAACCCATAAAAAACACTTTAAAACAACCCAAACTACACAATAAAACTCTTATAAAACTATCATCTACGCCTCTGATAATCTCTCTGCTCTCACCTGTAGATGATCAGAATCAGTCGTTCTTGTTTCCGCGCCTGATCCAGGTGTTGCTGCAGAAAGAGGCGCAGAAAATTCATATCAAGACAGATGGCATGCAGGTGCCTCTACGTTCACAAACGAATGAATAAGAGTGTTTTCAAAAATGTCTTTTCATTTTCACAGAACCTCCAGCTGCAAATAAAAGCTTTTTACTTTGCTCTGCACTGGGAGATTAAACAAAACAACAAAGACTGCAAAATGCAAATCCAGGAGCTCAGTATCGTTTTATGAAGCTAAAATGATTTACCTTTTTGCTTTTTTATCTCTCTATGCTCACAAAGTGCCATGTAGTTTAGCTGCAGGCTCATTTAAATACAAGGTAAAAACAGCAATCAGATTTAGTCTAAACTCTGTTAAATCCAAAGCGTTTAATGTAAAAGTCGTCATTATGGAGGAAACGTAACATTTTTTATTATAAAAACTAAAAAATTTTTCTCAGAGGATTAAGGCCAAAAAGAAATTTTTAAAAATCTGCATTTTTGTGATGTTAATGTTCTTGTTCTGCAGATGCAGGTCGCTTTGGGAAGTCTATATAGAGTAGGGGTGTCCAAAGTGTGGCCCAGGGGCCTTTTGTGGCCCTTGGAATAATCTTGTGTGGCCCCTGAATGATGCAAATGGAGCCGATGCAGATGGACACTTATTGTATTTGTTTTTAACAACGAAAGTTTTTCATGGGAAGCTTAAATGTAAAATGAAAATTTTTTTTTCTCTTTTTTCTTTTATTTTTATGTCATAGAAAATCATGCCAAATCCAGAAACGTTTTACGCAGGGAGAGTTTGAAAACAAATGTTTTATTTTTGTCGTTGGAAATTAAAAAAAACTGCACATGAAGGCCTGACAAAACCAACAAAGTAGATAATAAATGACCAAACATTTAGGCAAATGTTGGATTCATTAATTTTTAGTTGTGCAGGTAAAGGAGAAAAAATCACCATAATCTCTTTTTCTCTTTGCAAAAATAACAATTTTGGCCCCTGAGAATTTTCAGCTTTGGAATTTTGACCCCAAAAAATCTACACCACAGCAATATGGAAACTAAAATCCTGCAGATATTTCAAAATACTGAAAGAAATGTGGTTGGAGAAGCTGATGGATCAGATTATTCAGGTTTTGCTTCTTTCCCGGGTTTTCTAGACGGATCAGCAAAAGCAAATGAGGTGGATTAGCTTAACAACCGACTGCATCATGCAGAATGTTACTGTTGAACATCATCTTTACTGAGGGAAAATCGAGCCGTCCAGACAGTTAAACAGTAACTGTCTTCAGTCAGAGGCCTCCTCAGATTTGCTGCGATACTGTTTGCTACCAGAGATCAGCAGAGATACTTGGATGATGTGACGTATTGAGACTTGGCTTTGTGGGGAAACATGATCCCAAACGTTTACTTAGTTCACTGTGAAGAAGAGAAATGAGTGGAAGAGAGAAATGATCCCATTTTTCTCTCATGACTGTAAAAATCACTGAAAAGCGTCGCTCTCATCTTCACTTTCGTTCGTCTGATTTGTACAGCATAAAGCATGGAGGTTACACAATAATCTGGGTCATTCTGGGCTCAGGTGTTGAGCAGATTTTTCAACCCAACAGACGAACTCGTCCCCTCAGAAATCCTTGCAGCGTGTTGCATGAACACGGCCGAATCCTCTACACCTCCTCCCTGAATCCTTTTCTTTTCTTCCTCTCCATTGCGCTCGTGTTGCAGAATTGGGTTTTGCCCTTTCAGAGCTTGCTGCTGCCCCGACTTTGCAGCAAAGCATGGCTGTGGTGATGCTGAGAGTGAGAGCACCTCGGGCTAAAGAGCAGCAAAACAAACCCAACCTTACGTAACAGCTGAGCTGCAAGCAGGAATGAAAATCAGGCCACAGCAAAAAAAATCTAATGTATAAATTAAAGCAGCAGACATTTTTAAAGTGTAATATTGTCTTTTATTTGAGTTAATGTTTATTTTTTATTGTTTTCTCGTTTTGGAAGAGATTTGATCCACCCGTTTGCAGAAATGGTTTTAACCCAAACATTTAAACTATAGTAAGTAACTAATATAAAGAATACTTGAATTTTTACAAATTTAATGAAATTACTAAAATCACCAACCAATCAGAGCAAGGAGGCGGGACTTGCTGCTGACAATCACAATCTCAGACAGACCTGGCGAAGGTTTGGAAGAGAACCAGTTTGAAGGTTTGGTTTGGATCTTCTGAGGGCCACCGTCTTAGACGAACCAGCGCAGGTCCCATCTGGGTCGCCAAACTGTGAAGTGCACAATTCAGAGACTGAGGTCCAGACAAAAGTCAGGGAGCAAAAACATCTTTAACACATCTGCAGACGGAGAGCAAAAACACACTGCATTAGACGAAAATCATTCTGCTCTAACGAACTCAGAGTTGCATAGTTGCTTTATTCACCTCTCTGCCTCTGCTAACAGAGGCAGAGACTCAAAACCAAACAAAAGACACAAAGGAAAACAGACGGAACAGTTCAACCTTATACACTCATTCACTATCATGGCTATGGAATGCAAAAACTAACACCATTAAATTAAAGATTTGAGAAATGTGTGAAAATTTTGTCTGTATTTTCAGA